AAATATTTGAAGCTTTTAAAGATGTTAGCCTAAAAGTTTTTTTTTCGCAAGTTCAACGTATTCTTTATTATGCAAATGAATGATTTTAAAATGGTCCATTCTACAACATATTTATTTCAGCCATGATACTACTTAATATCTATATTAAACGTGACGTTTTATCGTATATATAATTTCAAATCGAAATATTTTGTTTTGATTAATAATACTAATTGCAAATTAATTTCAAAGAACGGCCAAGAGCGAGTCAGATTCGCACCCTGAGGGTTCCGTACCAATATATTAAATTATAAATAAATTGTTTTTGTATCGTGAAAAATTAATGAAATAGGTTTTGAAATATGATATCATTTGTACCAGAAGCTAAACTTCGACCCACTATAAGACGATTTTATATAATTTAATTACAAATGTATAGTTTACAGGCTTTTCCTTGAACTTGTTCTATAAAGCGATACTGCTTGGCAAATTTATAGTTCTAAGGCAACGAAAAGTACCCTATTAATTTGGATTCGTTTGAGAGTGTCGAAATATGCTTTTTTATGCAGTGTGTCTTGCCGTATCTTCTTCATGATAATTTAATGTGAATCACCATCTTTACAATCCTCCTTTTTTCTCTTCTCTCAGTGCCTTTAATTTTATTGAAATATTAATGTAGTTTTTTTAATCTATTTGTATTATTATTTTTAGGTTAATGGTTCCTTGAACATAAAAGTATTTACCTTTATTGTAATCTTAACTGAGTAGCGCAATAGATTCACAAATATAATATCCATTTAAACTTTTAGAATGTCATTTAAAACTGGTTTTGCTAGCAATGTTCATGGTAGGCTCAACCTGATGAGACAGTAATATTTTCTACTTACATCTTTCCCAACCATATAATCTCTGTCTTGCGTGTACATGGACACGAAAGCATATTTTTGTGGGTTAGGTATCTATTTATTTATGAAAAACTAATAATGTATATTATAAGTAAACTAATGGGTATTTATTAGTAAAATAATATAATTTCTTAAATAAACAGCTTTTGCGATAATTATTATATATCATTTTTAAAGTTTTTATTTCATGTTTTGTAGTGATATTGATATTTTTTCGTATAGTAGGGAACAGTAAAAATATTAAATATCTATATAAATACAAATATTCAACATAGTGAGTCTTACAAATGAAGAATTTATACATAGTTTATTATAATAATTCTATACTCATATTTTAAAAAGAGGAAAGAATATATTGCTTGTTTTCTTCAATAAAGCTTCTTAATACCCGTTGGACAAAGGCTATAATTAATGCAGGCGAAGTCGCGGGGAAACAGCTAGTTTGATAGAAATAGGTTCACAATTTAAGAAGAAATCGATAAACATACCTACTTTCAAAATATATATACACCATTAACATAGAAAATTCACCTTCCGGATTTTGAATGAATTCCAAATATGCGATCTTTTGGTTTTTAGCTGAATTAGGCCTTGTCTTACCATATCAACTAAATATATGGGTGATATTTGGTGGAAGGTAAGGGGTGTAAGGGGGTCCGAACAACATCTAACGGATCCCAAGCCAACCTCACCTGCACGCGGTACACCCTGCCGACTAACCAACGAGGCTCTGGCGCTCCCCACCAACCCGCATTGGGCCAGCGTGGTGGGAGACGGCCCAAAACCCCTCAGAGATCAAAATTGAACCAAACGAAAGGCCCCGAGTGCCCGGCGGTGCCGTAAGCCGTGCTGGCGCGGACGGACGCCAACTCGGCGAAGGCACCAGGGGTGCGAAGAATCCCCGGGCGGCAAAGATCCCCCGTCAAACGACCTTGGCCCTGGCAACCTACAACGCACGCACACTGCGGACCGAGGAGAAGCTGCTGGAACTAGAGAAGGAATTGGGCAGGATTCGTTGGAGTATTGTAGGATTATCCGAAGTCCGAAGAGAGGGCGAGGACACGATGATCCTTAAATCCGGTAACCTGCTCTATTTCCGGGAGGGCGAAGATCTGTCCCAAGGTGGCGTCGGGTTTATCGTCCACAAGTCTCTCGTGAACAATATTGTACAGATCGGAAGTGTATCGAATAGGGTGGCGTACCTTATACTCAGAATCACCGAACGGTATTCGCTGAAGGTCATACAGGTTTACGCCCCGACCTCGACGCACCCCGACGAGGAAGTGGAAGCCATGTATGAGGACATTTCCCGGGCAATACATGGTTCCACGACCCACTACACTGTTGTCATGGGAGACTTCAACGCAAGGCTAGGCAAGCGTGGCGATGAGGAGTTGAAGGTGGGGCATTTTGGATCTGGGATCCGGAATCACCGTGGTCAAATGCTAGCCGACTACATGGAGAGGGAAGGACTCTATATGATGAACTCCTTCTTCAAAAAACGGTTGCATCGAAAGTGGACCTGGAAGAGTCCGGATGGTGTGACAAAAAGCGAGATCGACTTCATCATGTCGACTAAGACTCGGATATTCAATGACGTCTCAGTGATCAATTCGTTTAATACGGGAAGCGATCACCGTATGGTAAGAGGCGCATTGAATCTAAATGTAAAAGCTGAACGGTATCGACTGGTGAAGTCTACGCTCCGTCCTGAAGCCACCCAGATCCGGGACCCCGAGCACTTTCAGCTCGAACTTCAAAACCGCTTCGATTGCCTGGAGAGCTGCTCGGATGTGGACGAATACAATGACAGGGTCGTAGAAGCTGTCCTTACGGTGGGTTCAAAATTCCTCAAACCTCGCCGTACTCAAAAAAGAAGCAAGATCTCGGAGCAGACAAGCAAGCTAATGGAAGAAAGGCGTGAAATGGTTCTGCAGTCTTCTGAGGATGCTCGTCGGCAACTCAATAGACAGATCTCGAAGTCTCTCACACGCGACATACGCCAATTTAATACTCAATGTATTAAGGAGGCGATTGAGCGGAATAAAGGCTCCAAAGTGTTCGCTAGAGATCTGTCTCTCGGACAAAGCTTGCTGACGAAGCTAAAGACAGAGGACGGCAGAGTCGTTACATCCCGTCCTGAGCTTGTGGCGGAGATCGAACGCTTCTATGGACAGTTATACACAACATCACAGAAACCTGTCATTGAGGCTACAGACCCTAGAGCCAAATTAACCCGACATTATACCGAAGACATCCCGGACGTCAGTCTATACGAGATTAGTGTGGCTCTCAAACAGCTCAAGAACAACAAGGCGCCGGGGTATGATGGAATCACAGCGGAACTTCTGAAAGCGGGTGGACTACCAGTCCGGAAAGCGCTTCAGAAGCTATTTAATTCCGCCATACTCGAGGGCAAGACGCCAGAAGCATGGCACAGGGGCGTGGTGGTGCTTTTCTTCAAAAAGGGCGACAGGGCCCAATTGAAGAATTACAGACCCATCACGCTTCTGAGTCATGTGTACAAGCTGTTTTCGAGAGTCATCACGAATCGTCTCGCACGTAGATTTGACGACTTCCAGCCTCCTGAACAAGCCGGTTTCCGAAAAGGTTACAGTACCATAGACCACATTCATACGCTGCGACAGGTTATACAGAAGACCGAAGAGTATAATCTGCCACTATGCTTGGCGTTTGTGGACTATGAGAAAGCCTTCGACTCCGTCGAGACCTGGGCCGTGCTTAGGTCACTCCAGAGGTGCCAAATAGACTATCGATACATCCAAGTGCTGCAGTCACTGTACGAAAATGCCACCATGTCAGTTCGGCTCCAGGACCAAAACTCGAAAGCAATACGACTACAGCGTGGAGTGAGACAGGGCGACGTTATATCGCCGAAACTGTTCACTGCCGCACTGGAGGACGTGTTTAAGCTTTTGGACTGGAGAGGACTTGGCATCAATATAAACGGCGAGTACATGACGCACCTTCGTTTCGCTGATGATATCGTAGTCATGGCTGAGACCATGGAAGATCTAGGCACAATGCTCGAAGACCTCTGTAGAGTTTCCCAGCAAGTGGGTCTTAAAATGAACATGGAGAAGACAAAAATAATGTCAAACTCCCATGTCGTACCCACTCCAGTGAATGTTGGAGGCTCTACACTGGAAGCTGTCGACGAGTACCTTTACCTGGGACAAATAGTCCGATTAGGTAAGTCCAACTTCCAGAGAGAGGTAAGTCGACGGATCCAACTCGGCTGGGCAGCGTTCGGGAAGCTACGCAGTGTATTCTCGGAACATCTACCGCAGTGTCTCAAGACAAAAGTCTTTAATTCGTGCGTGTTGCCAGTGATGACATACGGTGCTGAGACGTGGCCGCTTACGATGGGCCTCATAAGGAAGCTCAAGGTCGCTCAGAGGGCAATGGAAAGGGCTATGCTCCGGGTTTCTTTGCGAGATCGAATTAGAAATGATGAGATCCGCAGAAGAACTAAAGTCACCGACATAGCCCAAAGAATTGCAAACCTCAAGTGGCAGTGGGCAGGGCACATCGCTCGCAGGACTGACGGCCGTTGGGGCGGTAAGGTCCTGGAGTGGCGACCGCGTACCGGGAGACGCAGTGTTGGCAGGAAGCGCAGGACCGATCGTTTTGGAGATCTTTGGGGGAGGCCTATGCCCAGCAGTGGGCGTCTCTCGGCTGAAATGATGATGATGATGATGATGATTTGGTGGAAAACGTATTTTGTTTTGTTAAAAAAGGCAAACTGTTGCTTCGATTTCGATTAAATTTAAATGGCACCACCTCAGTACGTTAAGCTGTCGAATAAAAAGTTTTGAAAAGAATTTTGAAAATCGTTCAATCATGAGCGGAAATATCAGTGAACATACATAAAAAAAAATACATCGACTTCTGAGGTTATGATGCAGTCTGTATCATCTGTACTTGCCTTATTATGAACGAAATTACATATCCTTCAGTAATTTAAATATTGAGTATTGTAATTATTGTCACCCAAAAAATATGTAAGGACAATAGCGCAGATAAACCATACTCAATCTGGAAGAAAATAATTTACTGAGGCTCCAATCAAAATGGTATTTATTGCTTTTCCAGATGACGTCAGAGGTGAACAATTGGTACCGCGGCCGGAAGGTGCTGCTGACAGGCTCATCTGGTCTCATGGGCAAGGTGCTCATTGAGAAGTTGCTATACAGCGTGCCAGACATTGACTGCATATATGCAGTGGTCCGCCCCAAGCGAGGGAAGACACCGGAAACGCGGATCGAAGAAATGTGGAAGTTGCCCGTAAGAATCATTCTTGGTTAGCTGTTACAAAGTAACATAGTTAAAGTTTAGTTTAAAATGAGTAATTTGCTTGACCGTGAAAATTGTAATTATTTTTGAACGACAATGTTTTTTTACAAATATGTAATCATTATTATTAAGAATGAACAACGCAAACTTTGTTCCTTCACAATTGTCATAATTTTTTACCACAATTTTGTAATTGCTTACATAAATACATTGTAGTATTAATTAGAGATCAGGCTCATATTGAGTAATATGCCAATAGCTAATATTGAAAAATGAAAGCCGGTTATTGATAATATGTTACTCTCACTAACTATATACCAACAGACAACAAATCGCAGGGTACTTACAAACAGATGCACAAACAAACTTACACTTACGCGATGAAAATGTGGTAATATTTGCCAGTCGATCGTGGACGTTTGGCAATAAGTAACCAATGCCAAGTCCTCAATTCGCTCAAGCGTGGAACAGCAAATACTCATCAACTGCAACCCATTTCCTGGACAAATTTTCTGTTCCAATGTAGCAGTAAAACAATAGCTATGACTGGTTTTGTTTCATTCAATTAGGTTAAGTATGTTCATACTATGTATTCACATACATAATATGAAATACAAATGTACAAAATACCTATTTCATTATTGGTAAAATTTTAGGAAAGATATGATAATATACTAGGATAAAGCTAGAATAATATTTTGAAGGAATCCTATTCCGTAATTCTTAATATCAAATACTTGTATAGTCTCATCAATATTATTGTACTTAATTATAATTTAGTAGTAATATTACTTGTAATTATAATTTAACCACGTACATTATTTTTAAAATGGCCAGTGTCAATTAACAACAAACAAAGAAATAAATAAACAACGGCAGTGATATAATCACAATCACAACTTTGCTGTTGTGTAATTCAAAGAACATTAAACTGATTTTCTGTTATATACTACTCACGAACTGCTATTTTCTATTTTACAGTTGTTCAAAAGAATCAGAGAGGAGAAACCGCATGTGATGAAGAAACTGGTTCCCGTTAACGGTGACATAGTTTACGACGACCTTGGCATAGAGAGGAACATTCTGCAGCAGATATATGATGAGGTAACAGCTACTACACGATATATAAAAATGGTGGGTCACACGCGGCCTTTGGATTTTCGAAACACTTGGAAATTGACTCGGATACAAGATTCTGTTGCGAAATTAATAGATTTATAGAAGTTTTTGTTTCTTAACAACACATAATGGTGCCGATTTTGTTGTACTAGTTTCTGAACTAAACTACAAAAATAACTTATAATTCTGTTGGAACGTTATTCTATGCATCCATATGTAAACAAATACCACTTATTAAAAATGTTTGGTGTCAATACTGTTTTAGAATATTGTTGTTCTAAGCTTTTCAATAAAAATAGAAAGTTTTAGACCTACAACTAACTAACTCGCTTTAAGAACTAGCTCGATGGGCCTGTATGAGTTAGATATTTGCAGAAACTTTACAAAGAGTTTGTAACGAGAATGTTGTAATGTTAAACGAAATTGAATAACTAAGGAGGTTTATAAATACCTAGTCTGTAGTTTGAGACTTAGCTTATGCCGCAAAAAAGGAGTGTACATGTAAAAAGCATAGTTAATTCAATTATATGTCTTTTCGTCCTCGAAGTCGCTAAAGCAAAAAATATCTATTTTACTCTACGGAAAATCTGATATTACATCTCTTGCCTATGGAGTGATTATCTAATTTTAAAACATATCACAATTCCTTTTAAATGTATACGATTGTGATGAATAGTGATTTGAATGATCAACAAACATAATAAAGTCTTAGCTAAACCCATCGAAAGTAATATTTGCAAATAATAGTTGCTTTAGATACTTATAATTAACGTTAATATACTTACGATATAACTCAATATCTTTCATAAAAAACGTGGCGATAACAATCGCTACAACATGTCAAATAATTGTAGCATCAAGTTCGTTAATATCTTTCAAGTGTTAAATTGAAATGGAAAATAATTGAATACTAAATTATTTTTTAAAGGTGTCCGTGGTATTTCACTTTGCTGCCAGCCTACGATTAGAAGCAATGATCAAAGAAAACTTAGAGATGAATACGAAAGGTACATTGAGAGTACTAAATATCGCTAAGAAAATTAAAAATCTGGCTGCTTTCATTCATCTGTCAACGGCATTCTGCTATCCCGATTATGAAAGGATGCCTGAAAAGGTAACTTCTATAAAAATAATGGTCACTATTTTAATCTATAAATAGAAAAAAAAAATCGTCGGTCCCCAATGAGCATTTTGTATAGCCATGTCATGATACAAATTGTTTCTTTAATTTTTAGTTCGATCTTGGCAGTCATGTTTTATATTTTTTAAATTATTTATTATTATTTTATTCCTTTTAGTGGTCACTAAATGTATACAAAGTGAATATCTTTGGAATATTAAGTAAAAGCGCAAGCAAAAGAAAATTTGAAATGTGCTATATATATTAAGCCCTTTCATTTGATACCCAACACGGAATGGCTGAATAATATATTTTTTAAGTTTTGTTTTTTATTTTATGCTCTCTAGATGGCGCTGTTTACCAATTTAATGTAAAGTCACACATAACCTTTAGCATGCGGGCAACTAAGACGCTTCTAATAGTACCTCATTTGTTCAGTTACGATGAGTAGTTTCGAAGCTAAATGGATACAGATGAACATCCTTACATACATACATACCGGCCAAAATCATAACCTTTCTTTTCGCTTTGTCGTAGTCGGGTAGAAAATCACCCCGTAAGCCAAAATGATGTAATTCTAACCGCGTAACTTAAGCCGTCAAGCTGGCAGATCAACTTTCAGAAACCAATCAGAATCTAGGACTGGACACATCTATACAGATTGATTTGCTCACCATTCAAGGCCTCATTTTGATAGAACAATTAGGCTTCAGTTATTCGAGCCGCTGCCTGGTACATAGAATACACTAGTATGAGTAGTATAATGGATTTTATGACAAAATTCTCATCCATGATGAGAATGTGTCATTTAATTTTTGTTTATGGAACTCAAGAATATCCAACTTACCTTTTGTTAATTATTGAAAAATCTATCTTTCTTAATTTATATTATCGCAAAGCGCAATAAGATAGACAGTGGTAGTTTTGTTTGGCTTTACACCCCCGTCCTCCTTAAAAAAATATGTAAATCTTTACTGCAACATTACCAGATAACACATTAAGGAAACCCTGAATTCTGAATTTAAGTTTGTATCTCAGAAGCGATTTCCTTCCTAAGATGTCAAATTCGACGTTACAGGTGTTAGACCCTCCAGTCAATCCTCATGAAGTTTTGAGAGCAGCGAGCTGGTTGACCGATGACCAAATTAATTTGCTAGCCCCATCGATTCTTCAGAAACACCCGAACTCTTACACATACTCCAAAAGGCTTGCGGAAGCTTTAGTGAGAGAATGTTATCCTGAAATGCCAGTAGTGGTAGTAAGGCCGAGTATTGGTAAGATAAAGTTTCTTTTATTCTTTTATTTTTAGAGGGTTATTCCTGTCTGCCACCTTCTGTAGAACATTCTGGCAACAACCGATATGTTAGTGTTAAGATGCAGTTACGGAATCCCTGTTCTTTTGAGATCTATTAATCGTTTACTTTAATGAAAAAATATTTCACTGATAAGGGGGCGTCCATAAATTACGTGAGGTGTTTTTTAAATTTTCTGTCCCTCCCTCCCCCCCTGGTGAGATGTCGTGAGATTTTATTCAACCCCCTCCCCCATCCCCCAATCTCACGTGAGATTTTTCAAAATGCAATTTGATGAGTACTTGCGAGTATTTGCCTTGTTGCAGTATCGAGTATCGCTTTTGAAAGTGTCAATACCTACTCGGTATCGAAAGTATCGTTCGAGCCCTACAAATATGGTAGTTTGACATTAGATGTATAAGCGTCGAAGTATGAATGAAATTATTTTCTTTTTAACGAATTAGTGAATGATCTTAATCGTATACGATTACGCTTAAGATTAAATCTTAAGCATGTACAATCTGGATGAAATGGACCAAAATAGTATAATTTTTTTTGTTTCAATCAGAAAAAAAATTGCGTGATATTTGCCGAGACCCCCTCTCTCTCCAACGTAAGATTAGATGAGATTTGCCTCGACCCCCTCCCCCCCTTAAACATCTCACGTAATTTATGGACGCCCCCTAACGCCTTTTGAATTTACTGTACATCTTCAGCAGTTTGTCTGGTAGAGAATTCCTTTTTGGGAATGATGCCGTTTGCTGTATTTTAGGCATAATGACTGAATTATTAATTAATATATCTATTATATACATTGAAGTTCTTTTTTAGTGACACCTACTTACAAGGAACCTATGGCAGGTTGGGTAGATAACCTTAACGGTCCTATCGGACTGATGATAGGAGCTGGGAAGGGTGTAATACGTTCGATGCATTGCGTAGGCCATTACCATGCTGAAGTGATCCCTATAGACATAGCCATCAATAGCATCATCGTTATCGCTTACAAAATAGGCACTACGACTGAAAGGTAATTTATTAATGTATAAGTACTCGTAGCTAAGTTTCTTTTTTACTTCGCTGCTCTTTAATGGTAGGCTGCTTTTCGTTTAAGATATTTTTACATTCTAGAGGGCTTTAATTTGGTTTCGGAGCCTATACGATGCAAACAAACAATCAAATCTTTCCTCTTTATAGGATTAGTATCGATATATTTTGATAAACATTTTGAAATAGGCAATACGAAATTTTGTTTTTGGAGAAACATACACTCACAGGCACAATTAACTGATCACCTTCAATTTCTTTCAATTCGCAGAAATCGCCAAACTTAGACCAAAAACTATACTTAAATAAAAAGAAACAACAAAAACATTGGATTTTTTTTGTCGTTTCTTTTCGTGTATTAATTAATATTACCAACATCTCAATATACATAGTTTTTTTTTGTGTCCAGACAAAATAATTTGTTTGGAAACACTCAATAATAATATACAAAGAAACAAATAAGAGGAATCAAAAAGTAATCCTACATCAATGGAATTTTAAATTTAACGACAGAAAAATTACAAGCAAATAAGATTTGATTGTCAGAAAATAATTCGTTTGATTAAATGAATTTGTAATCTCGCGGGGATCATTTCGAATCACTAACACCCAGTTGCACAAATGTCCATTTAAATTGGCATTACTTTAAAGTAACATTACGCATACAAATATTAAATTAACAATGTTAATTAGAGCTTAGAGATTAAAGTCGTCATTAATACTTAAAGATCGTTTGTGCAAGTAGATGTTAGAAAATAAAAATATCTAATAACCTATTTCAGGAAGCCAGATATTCCTGTATACAATATAACTACAGGAGACGATAGAAACACAACATGGAAACAAGTACTAGACATCGGGAAAGCGACAGTCCGCAAATATCCATTCGAGGGACCTCTATGGTATCCAGATGGAGATATCCGGCAGAATAAGTTCATACACAACCTCTGCGTGTTTTTCTTTCACATTGTACCTGCTTACTTCATAGACTTCTTGATGCTCATATTTAGACAGAAGAGATTGTAAGTTAATAATTATAGTAATTGTAACTCGTGCTAATTAAAATGACACCTGAGGACCTTCAAATCGTTCTTGTAATTATAAAGAATAACGAATATGGATCTGATAGCAGTGTTTCCAACTTAGAAATTTATCCACCAACAGACATATCAAAGTAGTGAAATGATAAGAAATATGTCGAGCCGGAAACTTTTGAAAACTGCACCGAGTTTTTAGAATTTAATATAAGTATTATTTTTATTTCTAAGTTATTCTATTACTAGCTAAGTCCATGGCTGGAGTTATGGCTATATAGTTAGCGGCCGCACTCCATGTCCTACCTCAGTTGCATCATAAATGATCGAAAAATGCGTTTCTTTGGACTCGTATTATCATTTAGAAAAAAAAAATGAAATTCCGTTTTCATACACGAAATGTCATGTTACGAGGGTCAAACTGAAAGTTCTTAGAACTGGCCACTTATAAACAATATAATAAAAAAATAATTCTAAAATTTGAAAATATAACTCTTTGCCAATATTACTGAGTATATATTTCATTCATTTGTCATTTGTTTTACGATTTGGCGGCAAATTGAAAATTGTCTGTGTCACGTCATCATGAATTTAACACGAGAAAATTTTCGTGCAATGATTTTTTATGACTTTCGATGTCATTTAAGTCAACAAGAAAGTTATGATAGACTACGATTGGCCTTTCACGATGAAGCCCCATCTCGTGCGACTGTTTACAACTGGTTTAATGAGTTTAAACGTGGTCGCACTAATCTCACTGATGATTTACGTGAGGGACGGCCTTCTACGGCGACGACTGAAGATAACATCTGTGTTGTGCGGCGTATGATAGAGACTGACAAAAGAGTGACCTATCAACAGATTCGGACAAGCTTAGGCATCGGTATGAGTCAAGTGCACAAAATCCTCCACGAACATTTAGCGGTCAGGAAGCTTTGCGCCCGGTGGATACCTCATAATTTGACTGAGGCTCAAAAACTCCATCGTGTGGATTGGTGTCGTAAAATGATTGAAAGATTTAACGGAGGTGACTCAAATGCTGTGTTCGACATACTAACAGGTGACGAAAGCTGGATTTACTGTTATGATCCTAAAACCAAAAGACAATCTGCTCAGTGGGTGTTTCCTTTCGAGGAGTTGCCAACTAAAGTGAAGAGAGATCGAAGTGCGGGAAAAAAAATGGTGGCCTCGTTCTTTGGAAGGATAGGTCATTTTGCAACAATTGTGTTAGAGGATCAAAAAACAGTTTCTGCAGAATGGTACACTACCAATTGTTTGCCACTTGTCTTGGAAAAAGTTCGAGAGAAACGACCTCGCAGTAGGATCCTCCTTCACCACGACAACGCCTCGTCGCACACCGCCAAGCGAACGATCGACTATTTGGCGACATCAAACGTTGAATTACTGGGTCACCCGCCGTATAGCCCCGACCTCGCGCCTTGTGATTTTTATTTATTTCCAAAAATTAAAGAAAAACTTAAAGGAAAGCGGTTTATGAATGCTGAAGAAGCGGTGGCTGCGTATCGCGATGCCATTGAAGAGACCCCTAAGGACGAGTGGGCAAAGTGCTTTTCCCAGTGGTTCCATCGCATGCAGCGGTGTATTGACGTGAATGGACAATATTTTGAAAAAATATAATAAAACTAATAACTGGCTAATGTAATCAGTTTTTGATTTTCTAAGAACTTTCAGTTTGACCCTCGTATTCGTAAAATACTCTCAATAAAAAGTATACGTAATATAAACACATGTCTTTAGACTAAAACATGCTGACAGTGTACAAGAGGGTGCAATAATGTCAGAAATACTCTTCTTTGTGGGGGTTCTCAACTTTAAAGCTAGTCATTTAATTCAAAGCATTTTAACACTAATTCCTGTATTATCAAATTCAATTTCAAATATATCGAAAGTAAGCTATTCGATCTTTTTCAAATAACAGATGATTTTTTTCTTTCTCCAGCTTGGTACGCATCCAGAATAGAATAACTGTTGGACTTGAAGTACTGCAATATTTCACTACCAGGGAATGGTGGTTCGATACGCACAACTTTAAGGCTTTAGCGCCAAGTTTGAATAATGTCGATTTTAAAACTTTCCCAATGGATCTGACTATTATCGAGGACGAACCATATATAGAAGCCTGTATGATCGGAGGCAAACTTTATTGCCTCAAAGAAAAACTCGAGAATTTGCCGAGAGCCAGACTTCAAAACAACATGTAAGTAAGACAAATGATTATTATTGTAAAATATAATATTTAGCAATGGACGCAATATCGCATCAGCAAATTCAAGGCCCAGAGCACTACCACAAATATATAATGTTATAATCAAATAACGAGATTTTTATACCGGTTCTCTTTTTAATTCAAACCAATAATATTAAAGTCACTGGTTTTAAAGATGAATACGAAATATGCATTATGCTAAAAAGCATCAGACGGCGGGTCATTAAACAGTCAGCCAACAAGTCAGAATATCCAAAGGTTGTTATTGGACCTTACAGTACAAACCAACGAGTCTAACAACCCCTGAGGATACTCCTTGGAGGCGAAACACGTGTAGAGTGGTTGTTTTGCGAGATTTGTTGTCGTTTGTACAGGTGATGATGTTACCTACTGGGTGCGGAAGTTGGAAGTGCGGAAATAATTTGTTTTTATCTTTTCAGCCTGTTCGTATTGGACCGTATAGTGTCGGTATTCATTTATCTATTTATGCTCTCCTGGGTCGCATATTATTTCGATTCGGTAAGAGATATCCTTTCGTATGGAGGGCCGGTTGTTAAATATTTACCTTTTGTCGGCAAAACTGTCTTCAGAAACGAATTGTGATTGCTCCGTAAACAAAATAGGTTACATTCCAAAGAGAGTGAATGTTATTTTTTACTGTAAATAAATATTGTACATTTGGGTGCTGTAAATAAGTATACATTATTGTAGGTACTAAATAATAAGTGAATTTTTATATTCTTTTTCTTAGGCTTCTTTTAAAATATTTGTGGAGTTAAAAGGTAATTTTTATTACTTTGCACTAACTTATTAAATAAATACTGTTGTGTAGATATTAAATGAATAAACGGATGATCAATTACGTATCGGTATTATATTTTTATGAACAATTAATAAAAATTTATATTCAGCAATTCTGTTTTTTTTTTTATTTGTGAAATAAAATTGCCTCTATGTTGGTTAATATCGTATCACATACCTACCGGAGACATTTACTTCAGTTGTCATTGGTGTCAATTCTGTTGTACCACTCTCGAATATGAAATTATTCTGATTCGGCTATGTTTTAGCTTTATTCCGTAGTGTTAAGTAATAAAAAAAATATGTAAATTATACTCTTGTATACTGTAATATAATAAGAATTTGCTAAGTAACGCTCGCAGACCGAATTCTGAATGAAGAAATAAAAATAAGAATAGGGATGACGACTACTTTTTGTTTGCTTGTCCGTCATGTTTATTGTTGAAAATATTAATCACGATTTTTTTATTAAAAAATATATATTTTCCGTTATCATAAAATTACGGTGATACATTAAGTTAAAATGTCACATGACGTCATGCTTTTGTACATTTTCTATAAAACAGTGATGTAGCGAGCCGCCACATCTCAACTTTAATGTATGTTATCCAAGCTATTTCCTGTTACTAAATAGTTTTTTTTACCCAGTCATCATCCCTATTGACTCTATTATCTATCTGACGGACTAAATCGATTTCTTTTTACCTAGTCGTCATTGACTTGAAAGATACTAGGGGCCAATTCCACTAAATAAATTTTGTTTAAATCGAATCGAAAACGGATCGAAACCGAACAAAACTACAGTTTTTAATGGTTTTCCTATTCTACAAAGTGACATACGATACAATTCCAGTTCTATTTTAGCTGGAATTGTATCGTATGTCACTTTGTAGAATATAAAACCATTAAAAACTGTAGTTTCGTTCGGGTTCGATCCGTTTTCGATTCGATTTAAACAAAATTTAATTAGTAGAATTGGCCCCCTGATGACACGTGCCTACTAATCGAAAGCAGTAACCTAAAAGAAATTAGCATTCAATTGAAAAAGGACTCTGATAGGTTATGTATGCGATGCCACGATATGGGACTCGTCATCGATGCACAAAAAACAAAGTTAATGCATATCAAATCACCTTACTTGAAATGTAACACACATATATGTAAATAACACATCAAGACATGCTTACACCATGCCGTGTAAGCTTTCACAAACACGGTAGTGCCCGAGCATCGAACAAGTTGTAATTAGGACTACTCATTGATCATAAATTTAACTAGGGTCCGCATATAGCGCATGTAAATAACAAGTTAGGTGTGACCTTTGCTAATTTATTTGTTTTAAAAAGCGTGTGCCTTCTAAAATCAGATTCCTTTTATATTGCAAGCTCTTTGCTTCAATCGTGTCATATGGGTTTACAATATATGGCCGTACTTTTAAAATCTTTTAGATTCAATATACAGATTGCAACTTAGGTTACCTACTCCGGCTTATAATACCGAATGCAAAGTCCGTATTTAAGAAAGAGTGATGTTTTCGTATATTGCAATACTTCACCGGTGTACGATAAAATTGATTATGTCATTTGAAAGAAAAAAAAATCAACAAGGAGGTACTAGTAGAAATAAATCATCCTATATGTACAAGTCGAAGAGCACAGCAAAAACTAGTTATTGAATCAGCAAACGATAACTACGCTGAGCGGACGAGAGTATTTATAATTCCACGACTGATTAATTCTCCATCAACCTCCATACGTGATGTAATCACACAAAATAATAATATTAAATATAAATTAAAAGCATATTTCTTATCTCATTGCTGAATGTATGTTACTTTAAAGAATAGTTTTATTAGTAAGTAGTGAATACTCAATGGTGCCAGTTCTATTGTAGTATTCCTTATTTTATGTTTTATTTTAATCTTCCGTGGCAAAAGGTAATAAAAAAATCAACAGGATAATATGCTTTTGTAATTGATAAGACTCTATTGTTCTTTATGTGGACTACATGATTGTAATCACATACAAACCCAAGTGGTTTAAGTGATACTTTTTGTGAAACAATATATACTTATGTAAGTTTTAAAGATTAACAATAAAACAGATAGCTTCGGTGTAAAAATCAACAGAAACATGCTCTATTGGTTCGGACATGTAGAAAGAATGACGTATGAAAGAATTTCAAAACTTATATACAACGTGAAAGTGGAAGGATGCAGAGCGCTTAGTGTAAGTTTTTTGACGTTTACGTTCACTGTCGATCGTGAGCGCGTTAAGATTTTAGTATGGAATCCGGTACAGCGCCCCTAGCGGTAACTACTAAGAACTACATATCTCCATACAAATTCTTACACTTACCACTCAGAAGTCGGGGAAGGCCACGACACACCTTTCACGACGAAATCAACCGCGTGCTCTTAATCGGTGATATCAGAAGCCATAAAAACCGGCGAGTATGTATGAAATGAGAAATGAAAGTGGATGACTCGAAAGATGTATATAAGGACCATACATTTTGGAGTTCGTCCTCTCTGCTTACCCCGCCAGGGATACGCAGTTGAAAATGCAGCTTGCGGACTAAACCTAAATTTAGTCTAATTTAGACACTAAAACAACAAAATTGCTCCTATAGAGATGACGACAATTTTTTTTTGTTTGTTCGTCACATTGTTCAAAAATATTAAACACAATTTCCTTGTTTTTTTGCGTAATCAATAAATTACGTCGATATATTGAGTTAAAAGTCACATTACGTCACGCTTTGGTACATTTTCTACATAACCGTGACGCAGCGAGCCCCCACTCCTCAACTTCAATGCCTAGTATCTAAGCCATCTCTTGTTTAAACTGAAACAAAAAAATACGAATCTAATATTTTTCTATTATATGACTGACGGACTAAATAGAATTTCCTTTTTTTTACCCATTTTGTATCTCTTGTAAAATTTTGTAGCCAACATTGTACGGTAAGATAAAACTACTGGGGATAACCAATTTACCTGCGGCTAGAGTTGCTGGGTGTTTGGATAAAGCCGGACATAGTTAGGCTTTCGATTAACTGTCCGGCCAAAATAAAGGGATTTCAGCCATTTTGAATCATATTAATTTCGAAAGTAACTTGAAATAAGGTACTGAGACTAATTTTGTGTTCGATTATATTTTACTAGAAATTAAGAATATTTATGGTAAATAATCAGATCAGCTTGATTTTTACACTTATATTTTATAAATTTAATAAAAAACAAAATCCTCGACAATGTAGTGTGCCTAGCCTTTTTACCCAAATGTCAATTCGGAATGTAAACAAGCCGCTTATTAGGTTTAGCGGTCTGGTAATCCTACTTGCGGGTAATGTTGGCCAATCAACTCGATTCATAAAACGTGCAATAAGGTAATGCGCGCGGCTGACTCCCGCCGAGTGTGTGTCAGAATATAGTCAGTGTGAGTCAGAAAATCTAACATGTTTAAAATGTGGCGTAAGATTGTATTTCACTTAAAAAAACCTGCTGCTTTAAGGGTTAAGTAGTTAAAAACCTGTTCGTAGGTATAATTTTGATTTAGCATGATTTAAATTTACACATGCTACCGTAGAGTTGTTATCGTAAGTAATAAAATCTTCTCAAAATATATGCCTCTCTGTTTTTATTACTATAATTAATCACAGTTTAATTTGCGTTCCTCTCGTCAAATATGGAACCTAATATATCTACGTCATGTTCACATATAAAGAACGCTTTAGTAGAGCAGTTGATGTCGTTCAATCGCCCGTTGTAAAACATCGAACCACATTTCTCGTTGACGCCTCCATCAGGTTGTTGGTTTCCCCATTTGCTGTAACCGCTGTCTTCTAAAGGAGATCCTGAAAACAGATAATAAATAATAATTGGGTATTGTATTATTATTTGTTCTTCGTTTAAATTACTAAGAGTGAAAAGTATTTACAGACTAGCGGGCCTGATAAATGAATAAGCATTTATGACCTGATCACAGAATAGATACAGATTGTGGCATAAGTAATGATCTGGATGCAATAGTCACTATAATACCTTACCTATCTACCTACCTTCACCACAGGTCAAGTAATTAATTTGACAACTCGGTTCATTACTTATGCCCTACAATCTTTCTCTTCTTTACTGGTTATTAAGTTAACTAATTACTATCCTTGTAAATGTATGAAAGTAATGCAAGTCCGAGTTAGATGACGCAAATTAAAGTCACAAGTAGATTAGCTTCAGAATGACCAACGGTCAGTTGCACAAACGTTCATTAAGATTTAATGACTCCTTTAAGCTCTAATGAATATCAAATTTGTATAAATAACGTCGCTTTAAACTAATGACAATTTTAATGGGCGTTTGTGCAACTAGGCATATGAAAGAGAATTAATTTAAAGAAGATGATACCCTTAATAGTCTTCCATCCATCACCGGTTCTATTGTGAAAGCCCAATAACACAGCTCCTCTTAAATAGTCTCCTCTGATATTATCCTTAGACGTTTTATCAGTCAACTCTTTCAGATAATCAGCTTCAGCGGGACTGTCTATGACTGCTAAATATGATTGCTCTGCATTGCATATTACATATGCGTCTGCCCATGTGCGTGGTTTCAAATGGAACTTGTAACATTTGCCTAAGTTTTCGTTGTAACTATAGTCTAAAAAATAGAGATTATTTGACAAGTTATTAGGACATGGGTCATGGGGGACATCGAAAAAAAAATATTATCTTCATGTTGACGTAGAAAATAAATTTGTGATATTATATCTGTCTAAAAACAATATGATGATGATAAAATGGTAATACCAAAACCCGTATCCTTGTTAGACACCCAATCTTCATAAGGAGGATTACGAAGTAAAAGAACTAAACAAATAGAAGGGAATAGTCAGAAAGAGAGTGACTGCAAGGGAGCTACGACAATTAGAAAAAGAGGAGGCGAGGAAGTGGTTTAGCAGTAATAACAGGTCAATCCTACTCTTCTTCGCCATAAATTCTCAAACGACCAGGTTACACAGCTCGTGACCACGACCGGTGTAACCTGGTTGAAACGTTGGGAAATATAGGTAGGTGAAAAACCTAACTATCGAAATCTATCGCTTTAATACGCATCATATACAATGTTATATAATGCAATGCGAAAGTTTAAAAATCTATAAGTTCTTTAGCATTACAGAGTGAATGGGAAATTAATGGTTAGTTTTAATATTTCCCATTGTATTGAAAACGCAGTCAGAATTTGGTCAATTCATCATGCGAATTATCGGAAATCAATCTGAAGAAGTTTGACAAATAAAGCTCAAACTGGAACTGTCGCTTGGTAAATTGAGGGCGAATATTCCTCACCCATATTAGGAATATAGCAAAACTGGTTCCACTCCAACATGCTGCGTTTTTTCTTACAAATGAAAGGGTGTTTCTTGTCGCACTTGTCGTCGTTCAAAAAACCATTGATTCTCAAATTAACGCAGTCTTCGTTACCGCCCAAATCGTTGGGCTCGCCGGCATCCCATTTATTATACACATCAGCTATAGGAATACCTGTGGAACATAATAAGTAAATATTCCATTTCACTACCGAAGTCACCGTTTCGCGGATTTGAAAACACCGTGAAAACTATACAACATGTTTGTAATTAAGTAGTGTAACAGTCAGTTGCACAAACGTCCATTAAAGTTTAATAACGATTTTAACCTCTAATTGATGTTCTAAATTTAAAAATTTATCGGTAATGTCGCTTCAAACTCATGAAAATTTTAATGGACTTTGTACAACTGGGTGTTTAGGATCTATTGTAAATTTTATGTGTATAACCTAACAAATACGTCTATCCCCAGAATCAAAAATAATTCATTGTTGTAGATCATGGCCATTACCTTAATCGATTCCGTCCATAGGGAAGGCATGTGCCCCACCAGCTCTGCGATTCTGTAAAACTCCAAACCCGAATTCGAATTCTCTCAGGTGTCCGAATTGACTTCAAAAAGAGGCATACGCTCAACCTTGAATTGGTAATAACGTTTCGTAGTATAAGTGAAGTGAGTTTCGAAATGATATAGGAATAGAATATCTGAGACACGTGTATTCGATCAATTTTGTTTTGTATTTTTATAAAAAAAAAATGGAATCAATAGAATTTTTACACTAAATGACGTGAATTCGGACATATGAGTGAATCCGAATTGGGGTTTGGATTTTTACAGAACCGCAGGGCAGTTTGGAAAATATGCTGCTGATGACGACGAGTTCATGATTTCGCAATTACATTACTGTTTAGTCGTTTAAAGGCGCTCGTCTATTGCCTCGCACACACGCACCGGCCGCACGAGTAACGACACGCAATACATTGCACGGCTTTGTCGATGTTGTACAATTGTTGTGTGTAAAAATTACACTCAGTTGACGTCGAAATGATGCTGATGACGTCACTGGCATTTTTAATATAATCCGTTGCATGTCGTGCGTGCTGACAGATGGAGGTTCACCTTTACTATATAGATCAACTACTGTGTTGTTTTATGTAGTAAATTACATTTTTTTTTTGAATTATGTACTTACTATCGACCGTCTCAAAGACACCCTTTACCAGAAGGTCCGAAATGCCTACATAAACCCAATGAAACGGTTGGGTTTTGTTTAAAAAATCAATCACAGCATTAACTTCTGTTTCGTCTTCTGGATAGAAAAATGTAGCACCCTCCATTTCACATGCAGCCTTCGCATCTTGCCATGTTTTATGAATTGTGTGTATTTTGTAGAAACTATCGGTTTCCTCTATATATTTGTAGTCCTTACGGAAGAATTTTTTATCACGCTGAGCATCTGCAAATATGAGTTTAATTAATGACATAGGTATAATCAACCATTTTTTTGCTGTAACATCAATAATTATAAGTATTAAGGTAATAGATAATTTAATTATGAGAGAAAACTCTTTAAAACGTTTCCATCGACTACTCAATTGATGATCACGTATGGTTTAGTTTTTAAAAATTCTTTTACTTACGGGTAGCTAAATCACACGCGGGTGAAGTCGCGGGTAAACAGACAGTGTATTATATATTCTGTTGACCTTTTTGAGCTTTTATCTTTTCTCTTGAAGTGGGAATAAACGGAAAGGCTACAAAGGTCTTGATAACATAAAGAGATATAAATTGTTTGCCCATTTGCTTTTGTTTTGTATAGATACTATGAAATATTTAGGAACACACCAGTACGCACAACATTTCAAACTTGCCTTGTTTTAATTTTAACTTTACCTTATAAAACTCAAACATCCTGATTATTTTTCCATTTAAGTAGTACCCAATTTAAAAGATTAACTTTAATGACTATCATGATTTGGATTGCATATAAAGAATGGTAATGTTTGAAAGACGATAAGCAATAAAGTTAAAACCTTTCTAGAACTGAGAAACATTTCCTATGATTAATAATTACATAAATTAAATAAATACTCACATAAACTCACAAATAATTGGATCACAACAAACAGAAACATTCGACACATATTCGAAACATGTATTACGAACGTTTCGAGCAAACTATAATAACCAACGCGTCTTTCTGTGGTCACTACATTAATTCTAGTGAATTGCGAGGAGGTAAACAAATGGATTATTCTTTATCTCGTTCTAACAAGAGGTATGCTGTATGTATCTAATAGGGAGATAACTATTTTTGATTTCTTCGCGCCCTTTGTGGTTGTTTTATAATGTAACGCTACCACAATAAAGTTTACGGCGTTTATAAGTAAGGGTATGACGTTGGATTATACCAAGTACTTTTAGGTCAATGGATTATACCAGGGTTTCGCAAAGTAGGGTACGCGAACCCCTAGGGGTTCGCCATTCAACGGCAGGGGGTTCGCGACAAGATTTACATAGTGGTGGCGTGATGACTGGCAGGCACGCGCGGCACATATGGAGGCGTGATATTATAATAATAACGTTTATTAGAATTAAAATTTTCCAAAATTACTCCTAAAATTTACTCTATTTGTGACAAGAAACAAGCACACCCATCACATTAATAGTAAGTAGTAAACATATATTTATTTCGGCACTTTTGGTAATCTTTTATTGAAATAAAAAAAAAATTCTTCAACAGTTACTTTTATCGTTTTTATTGGGGGGATTTAATTAGTTAGTCACGGGTTTGTTTTCACCTGGAAACTAACAGGGGTACGTGGAGTGGAAAGTTTTAGAAACCCTGGATTATACTAACAAGTTCATCTTGAATTCAGTAAAATACACAGTGACGAATATCAGGAAAAAGAAGCAACGGTAAGTCGGCAACACCGAGGTCAAACCGGTTTTTAACATCACTGTTAAAACTTTATTTGTCTTTTATACGTATTTTGCGTTTTGTTAACCAAATAATTTGAAATAAGTAATTCGCATTACCATTAGATTATGTGTCAATTATGAAAAGGGTCGCATTTTTCATCATGCAGATCAGCATACAGTCTTTAAACTCTTCGGTAAGTATTTATATTAACACCACATTATTTTTAATGTCATTTTTTATAATTTTAACATACATTTAATTACCGCTATATTATTTAGAAAATTAGCTGTATAATAAGTGGTTAATCCCTCGATCTCTTAAACAACTGGCAAAATAAAAAATATTTTTATGCCTATGTATACAGAAAGTCAAGTATGTATACATAGGATAACCCGTCCATGGTTTTAATATTCAATAACTCGCTCAGTGGCGTAACTATACCGTTTGAAGTCTGTAGCAAATTTATCGCATTTTCTATTTTTTTTATTAATTATGTTATAATAAATGTCAGGAAGAAGGAATCTTCTCTAATCGGGGGCCCCTTTCAACTGGGGACCCGTGGCAATTTGCCGACTTGCCATCCTGTAGGTATGTACGCCACTGAACTCGCTTTCTCCTCGCAGTAACATGCAACGCCGAGATGGTAGTCAGAGCCAGTACTAAGTAATTCTGATCATGGACAAATTTGGATTTGGATACAATATTACCGAACACAATAATCTGAGAGGCTGTTAAATCCAAAACAAAATTAATGGAATCAAAACAGAAAGATCTTAATTAGGATTTAAAAAGCTGCAAAAACTATATTCATATTAAAACCTCTGGTTCTTCCCAGATAAAATGCCTTGCTTATATAGGGCATAAGTACTTGTTTTACTCACATATAATATAAGGGTTAAATAAAAGACAAAAATATTTTTTATAGTTTTATCTTGAGGTGTAAGTTTATTCGCATAACAATGTTTCATACAAATTTCCTCATTTTGTACACACCTTTTCTTGGTTCATTTTGTAGTTATCTTTTATAAAAGTTGGCTTTCTAAAATTTTTAACATATCGTCATGTCTGTTCCCTAAATCTAATTCGCATCACCGCTGCTGTTAAAAATCATTAAGAACAGAGGATTTACTAAGGCAAAGTATTAAGAGAATGAAAGTTAACGCGGACTAAAGGGTTTAAGAAACAATATACAAAAAAGTGTTTTACGTAACACGGAATGGGCCCTTAGAGCGTAAATCAGCCTTCCTACTAGTTCGACGTGGCACTAAGTGAATGAGAAACTTGGCCTTAACGTTTCACTGGTGGTGAGAGTGCAAACAGTGCAAGTACCAGACAGAGACTACATGAGAATAAAGAAGACGACGTCACGTTTGCGCAACACGAGCGTCAAACGACTGGCCTGCATTATTTTGTATTTTTTTTTTTTTAAATTTATTAAGTAGTTTGAATTAGAGTTATATAAACTCCATGATGCAGCGGCGTATATGTTGCGGAAACGTGTAATTCATCTAACAGACATTGCACAAATCGCACTGGTATCAGCGGACTCGAAGCCAGTCCACGAGGCTGCCAGTTACACATAATAAGAAAATTCGTTACTAAATAACAACTAAATCACTTTAAAATCAATTCAAAATTTACATTATTCACCTTATGAATGTAAACAAAACTAATCTGCTACAAAAAAATTAGCAAATTTAAATACAATGATCACCTAGTCCTTCTATATATAAAATTAATCACTTAAGTATTAGAAAAACACAATGTGAGAGTGGGGTTGCGTCGCAACTCACTTGTGATAAAGTTATTATGCCTTTCGAGTGTATATTCAACGAATGAATAGCGAAATATATTGCGTTGAAACATTAAAACTAAAAATTTACTGTACATTTTATATTTATGTAAATATTTGTACATATTGCACTTCGAAGTAACAAAAATTATTAAGAAAAAAAAATCTGTCGAAACGAAAAATACGCACACAGAACTTTAATTCTGCATATCGTATTCATTGACGTTAGCAATCACAATGTTCGTAGCTCGTAACACTATACTAAGTATCTATGGCTTACAAAGCTTACAAAAGATAAATACAGAGGTCATTTACAAAAAATATACTTCTACCCAAATAATATAAAAATAACAACAGCCATCTGTACTTGCTTAGATGAATAAAATTAAAAAGTACATATGTCGAACATATGACAATAGAATCTAAAAGTATCTATGTACAAAGTTTTAATGGACATAGAGCGGACTTGTCCAATAAGTCCACCGTATAATAATAGACTGGACGTGCCACATTTTGTCACTACAATTAACATTTCATACAAAAAGTAAAATGTATAGTTTTTTATTTTTTTTTATTCAAAAAAAGGCAATCGCAGAAATACAATGGGTTGTGACAGTCGAACCATCGCGCATTCCCAAGCCAGTCTTGTCGAAACAAAGTCATAATATCCCACACCTTTTACTTAACCTGTGTGATCTAGTGTCGTCTCCCTTCACATCGTCATATCAATAAGCGATATAAACTTATCATCTTACTAATGTTCCATTATCAGCTAAGACACAAATTATATATGGTAATTTCAATTACTTATTACTTTCTCATTTGAGATTATTACATACTTAATAAATCTATTACAATTTCGAAATTGAATAATAATATGTATCAAACACGACCGGCTGTGCACCCACGGATACTGAAATCTATGAAGCTATTATGAAACTACGCGTCGAATGATGTATAACAATTACTTATTAAATGGCAGTTATATTTGTCACAAAACCAAGATGTCAACCGTACGCAGACTGAAATTTTAATAAAAGTTTGAGGTTTTAGCGCCGACTGCTTACGATTACATCCCAGTTATAAGGCATCGTATCATAGCGTTTAAATTTTCGTGACTAAAATTTATCTAATACCTACTATGCGTTTAAGAATGCAGGCGCGACATTATATTTAATCGGTTCCTTTATTTCAATCACAGTTCCGACAGTCTTTGAGAATCACCCCCCACCGCAATCAATCGATGCAATAGCGTACTTTTTAAAGGACATTAAACGTTTCAAAATATTTTTCATAAATAAATTAGGCGGTCTCAATTGAACGTTTGTTAAAGCCACGCCTGCAACCTTAATGTATAAACAATAGAACTTCGATTACCGATAAGAATACGCTATGATCGCACGCACTCATGATCGCACCACATATACTCTGTAATGGCAGTGTGTTTGTTATCAATACTTCTCCAATCGGAGACACCTAAGACACTCCAGTGTTATTTTGTGCATCGTTCACTATTTTAGAATTGACTACCGCTATAAAGAAAAAGTTCTTTAATCGAAACGATGTATTTAGAAGCGACCTAGCGCGTGATCCGCGGTGCAAGCCCGATCGCCTCACGCTGTCTATTACACGTATCATTAAGAAATGCATTTCCAAAAACTCCAAACATACTTCAATGTAAACATACACCACACTTAAATGGCATGTAAAGAGGACATTCAACACGCACCAATCAGACACTTATGTTTTAAATCTTAAACGCGTACAATGGATGGTGAGTTACTGTGACTTGGTGACGTCACGATGATGAAGATGTGACATTAAAATTTGGTGTTCTAATTCTTATTAGCGACAGACATCGAAGGCTTGAGACGAACTGTACAACATTAGAGGCGCGTAAAAAATCAAACACCTTATAATGCCCGGTAAACTAATTGAAAAACATCTCTTATCGTATTCTTCAACAACGCTTACTGTTAATTGAGATCTTTTAATTTTTAGGTTTCTATATACTATGATTTTATTCCATTCATCAAATATGTAGATACACGATTACAGGTAACGAGAAATAAGGCATGTCGTATGGATACTCGTTATATTTCGCGGGCAGTATTTCTATTAAGGCGCTGTGATTTATCTATATCATATCATTAGCTGGAAGCGTGGCAGGTTTCTTTCGCTGTGTACATGCCTACTTTTAACATTTTAGTCTCTACTACACCAATATTGTTCCCATATAATAAGCTCGGCCAAAGATATACAGCATAGACATATATCTAATTTGAAGCGTTGAATAAAATAGCTGCCGTTTTGTACTTTTCATAATATTCAACAGTAATTCGTTTTAACGTAGAAAATACGAAACTAAGACTAGTAACAACTTTGGGAACTCGTGCTTTTATCGGATTCTTGTAGATACTACCATTCTATCGTTCTACATAACAGCTGCCAAGAGCATGTACACAACGACAAAAAACACGACTTTTTACTATACGCTTTGTCGTAACATTTTGGTTTCTGTAGCTAATCCCGCCTCGTTCCACTATTTATTTATATATATATGTGTGACACGTACACAAATGTCTATATTAATTGTATGAGCTGTATATGCTTATGGAATAAATTGCACTGATTTTTATTTTTCAATCGGCCTTAAAAAGTGGTAAGGTATACTATCATATTAATTGTACCACTCAGAGAAGGCTTCCGGCAAACGCAGCAAAATATCGTAATACAAATTGTAAAATGCGATACGATCGTGTAAAACAACCTTTAAAAGTAAAAGAACGGAGTGTTAATTACGTACCAAATGTGAAAGCTACCGACGACAGTAGAATCTTTATATGTAATAAGACACACTTATCTCAGCTTAAGTAAGACAATTCAACATGTTTATAAATGTAATCACAGCAATAATAAATTATAAATAATCATTTAATCGAGGGACGCGGGCACGGGACAATGGAACATGAATCTGAACAAAAGTCGACAGAACACGACAACACGTCTTGACATAAACTATATTTATAAACAAACAGGGCTTGTGTACCGAAATACAAATCCGCCAACAGTTCGGCCTAGAGGGTCACAGAGCACTATCACAGACTCGCTTCATCCGTACAATGCCGAACTATAGGCAGACTAGTATCTATAGCCGAGAGTAGTTATTTGAGAAAATAATTTCAGCAAATATTTTTAACCAGTAGACGAGAACTTGAATTAAGTAAGAAAGATTAATAGGTAATGATAATACTATTCTAACTATTAATAGTTCTTACTTCCTTCTAATTCTTGTTTATTTGGTAAATGTAAACCGCTTAAGTTATGAGATATTCTAAAGTACTTCTCTCGACTATAGATACGAATGCTAGACGCGGCGATTGACCCTACATTCAAGGCGTATATCAATCGGAAATAATAATCAACATACAGTTAATTTCGGTAAATAAACATTCAACTTTTTCACCCAATAGAAACATCTCATATATTAATTTTCTCTTCTTCACTATAACTCTCGTAGTTTATGTACGTATTTGTAATTTAGGAGGTGTACTTATAGAACTTAAGTCTTATCATACAGCCGTATCCGAGTGACCAACTCAGTTATCCAGTCGTAAGAAATAAACGCGTACCGTCGCGTCGGACGAAACGAGACGACGGTCGTTTCGGCCGACGGCAGCCGCCTGTAAACGATTAACACTAATATATCTCGGAACTTTCAACAACACATATATTCACTAATCTCGCATTCGTCCGTCGGTCACCGAATACGCGCGACGGGGTATGCCCTAAACGCCCGGCTTCTAAATCGTATGGAGAACCTACGACCCTTTAATACAAAATAAACAGGGATGACGACTGGGTAAAAAAAAAATCTATTTAGTCCGACAGTCAGATAATAGAAAAAATATCAGAAACGTATTTTTTCGCTTCAATTTAAACAAGAAATCGCTTAGATATTAAGTTTAAAATTGAGAAGTGAGGGCTTGCTAAATCACAGTTTTGTAGAAAACGTACAAAAGCGTGACGTCATGCGACGACATTTCAACTCAAGGTATCGTCATAATTAATTGATTACGCAAAAAAATACGTATTTAATATTCTTCAATAATCTACCTAATGGATAAATAAAAATCAATCATCATCCCTATCCTTCAATACCAAAGGGCCGTCTGATTAAACTCTTCTATACAATGCCGGGGCTTATTCGCACAGTCCTTTAACGTTTCACGTCCGACGTAATCGTCTAGCACTTCACTAAAACTAGCCAGTCTATGAGCGTTCTCTCCTCTTGGGGGGGCGCGGGGGCTAGAGGCTGGTCGCCACATCCAAAACGGCGGGCGTTTGCGTCGATGACACGTCCGCCACATCCCATATCTCCTCCAAAAACGGTGGCAACTTTCTATTCTTCAGCTTCAGGGAGATACACATGTTGGAGTTCTGCATTCCCAATGTACGCAACTCTGTGAGTACGCTTAATATTTTAGCGTATAAGACCGCGCAACGTGGCGACGCGCTGTGCTGATTCATGATGTAAACCCTTAAGGTGTTGAGATAGTATCTTTGTATTTCTTCGACGAGCTGAGGCTGCTCTAAGCCCGGTCGATCTGGAAATAAAAAAGGGTAATGTTGAAGATTTTGTCCAATTCGTTAGTAACTAACACGAGGTTGGTATTACGACTTGATTTGTTTATATCTTTAAAATGCGTCAAGAATGCTGATCAAGTCTATGTAGTCGGTGTAAAGTAATTTGAGACAGGTAAAGTATCCGGTGATAAATTTAAAAGTCCAAGGACTTTAGCGATTCGTTATTTATATCCCAGGAAATCGGAATATACATAGTCTTGTGTAGCTGTTTCTGTAATAACACGTTCACTGAAGAAGTAGGTTTTGTATTTCAATAATAACAATAAATCAATACCGTGATAAATATTTTTATTGCAATTCCACATTCCACACATATCCGTCACAAGGTTAAGAAACAATACTACTGACTGGCTAGTAACAACTAAACCGCCGAAACTGATCTACTAATAAGTATATAATATAAAATTATTACCTGAGAATATAACGACGGCAGTGAGCAGCGCGTAGTGCACATTATCCATAGACATGGAGTACATGCACCTGCAGAAGTGTAATAGGTCTTCGATGACGTAGGCCATGCCAGCTTTGCGATAGTTGTCGCGAGTGTACGCCTGGTTGTTGGCGAACAAAACACTATCTGTTGCCGCGTCATACCGCCGCGCCACTCGGAGCATCATCACCTCGCTTGAGCAAGCCTGTGGATAAGAAAAACTTCACAATGCATCTTGGAAGACTTACAGTATGGGAAAATGGTCTGCTGCTTTTCTTAAGAGAGATAGAATGAATTTTAATGTTGGTCTACGAATACAATAGCAGTGTTACTTATAAATCAGGTTTAGCGTCAGAGTAAATTTACACTAAAATTGCAATTTTAGTATTAGTCCATATTCATATCACACAGAGAATAAGCAAATCTACTACCTTCTAGGAGTAAATATTACTCCCGTAGAACTTCGTACTAGGTTAACTTTTGTTAAGTCTCTGTTTAGTAAAATGAATTTTGACAACAAAGTGCAGTCTCAGCGTAAATTTACTCCAACGCTAAACCTTGTTTATAAGTAGCACTGTAAGAGTTTACTTAAAACAACCTAAAAACCAATATTCAGAAACAAAGTAAAAATTCTTAAGCATTAAAATCATTGTGGGAATGTACACTCGTCCAGCAGGCTAACATATAGATAGTATGAGAACGATAGAGATGATTAAGTCGAGTTATTTCTTTCTAAATTTCGACATAGGTTAAATTGCCGGATTTTTAACAAGATTATTAACGAATGATTCTTTAAGAAGCATTTAAGGTATGTAATTTTAGCCTATTTGTATAGATACTTTTGACCGATAATCTTTGATTTCGGTAAAGATTTTATGTAAAGATAAAATAAAATAAATAAACAGGATATTATCATTTTTCATACCTTTAATAATGTGATCTGGTCCGGTTGCGAGATCTTTGAGAAGCCGGGTAGGCCCTTTGCGAATTCTACTATCAGTTGTACTGTTAGAATCGTCATCTCTGTGATTTGTCTGAAAGGCAGGTCTGATTCCTCTTCTTCCTCTTCACCTGATTGCCAAGTCTAAAATGATAATTCGATAGAAAATACGTGATCATGTAATTTATATAAGTACATTTAACGTAACACGTGTACAACAGTCATTTTTTTCCAAAGACGAAGAAAATTAGGTGCCAAAGTACAGTATAATTATAATTCTGGGTAAAAATATTTAATAATAAGAAATTACCTGCGTCACCCTTTTTAAATCCTCTTCTGAAGGCTGCTCGTATCCATCTTGGTACCAGACCAGTCTCGCGATCAGGAACTGCTGGTTGGCGGTGAGAGGAGGTATGTTCTTTAGCCGATTTTGCTCCATCAACTTCTCGGAGAGGAACCGCGGGACCACTTCGTGCTGCAAACATTCCAGCTTCACGTAGGAAACCGTGCAATTATTATCTAGCTCGGTTTGAATTAACAATGATAACGATGGATGAATGGAATTAACTTCTAAAACCTCTTTTTACAGATTGAGTTTTGACAATTTAGTTAAAAACTTCGTTAGTTTGTGAAGAGTTTATTTTGAAATTACTTACATATTAAGCTGTTTGTCAGATTACTTTCAACGTTTAGCAAATCCATCGTAAATAGAAAAAGTTAATGCCCTGGACTCTTGTCTCTATCACGAGGACAAAAGCCAGGCTTATTTGTAATGTTAGATATGTGTTAGAGAAATCATATAATTAAATAAAATAAAATATGGATTGTGCGAATGATGATGTCTGTAAACCACTTACAATCCTAGCAGCTTCTGGAGGCGGTGGATCACATTGCATTATTGGTGGCATGTAATCTTCAACTGTCGTTGTACTGACTGGCAGTTTGTCTTTTGCTCTCTGTTCTTTCTTTTCTTTCCTTTTCATCGCACAAGTTGTTTCTGGTACCACGCATTCTGGCCGCATGCCCACTGCCAAACACTTCTTTAACCGGCACTCTTGGCATTTTCGCCGCATATACATGTCCATTTCACACGCATGCCCAAACTTGCATATGTACACAGCATTTTTGGTGACGCTCCGCCTGAAGAAACCTGGAATGTGTTACGACACCAATTGTTAGAACGTTATCCTTTATCGTATTATAATCTACATAAACAATATTAATGATGAAGTTAGATACACAGTTTCATGAAACGTTGAGATAAGATAATGCAGTCATTTGCGCAAAAGTTGGTTGAAAGCCCTGGGTCATTGACAGTGGTGATGCTATTAGGTATATTAGGTAGACACGAGTCAATTTATATTATACAAAATAAAGATAGATAGCATATAAATTGTTTGAATTGGCCGTAATGTACAGCGCGCCGTGTATATTTTGTCCTTATCTTTTGCTCAGCATAGGATACAATGAATAGAGGCGGTGAATGTTTATGCTAAGGTCGTCGGTGAAGGTTGGTGACGATGCCCGATAGGTGTCGGTGAATCAAGTTCTAGAGGAGTAGACGGGCTGCAGACATCTATTGTGACGTCCCGACTCAAACACGGTCACAATATCCACGCACAGCTCATAACAACCTCGTATGGCACAATGCGCTAATTCAACGCTGAATTGGCACGTTCGTGGGCGATTGCCGGCTACCTACTGTTTACTTAGCAATGTTGACCTAGATATGATTCAGACTGCAGTGCCTGACATGCATTTGGATAGATGACCGGTCTCATTTTCTTGAATAAAGTATATTCTGTTTCTTCATTACAGTAATCTAATTACGTATTATTTATAATTTTGACTAATACCTTTACATCCTTCACATGTAAGTGCATTGTAATGATATCCCGAGGCTCTGTCGCCGCATACAAGGCACAGCTCTTCCTGTTGACGGGGCGCAGGTCCCTTTTTCTGCCTCCTCGATTCTCCATCTGTACTGCAACCATTGATGCTCGAAGCCGGTGACAATTCCTCTCGTCCTGTAACAAATAAAGCGAACTGTAAGTATTTGCATTTCCTTGAATTCAAGTGCGCAATAACCGTGCAGTGGCTAATGACGACGACACAAAAACACCTAAAATTGGACGCTTTAAAATTTGCATATCTTTCATGAGCCATTTGTCGCGACGGCGGGCGGCGGTAAACGGGTACGACTGCTTTTATTTTTCATCTGTTATTCGAATGAGTGTTCCTTGGAAGTTGTTTTCGTGAAGCTTTACTGGCAAGTGATTTTCGGCAGTGGACGTTTCCTGCCCAAACAAAGGTTGCTAGAACGACTGTCCGCATACTAATAAGGTTTTGGTATGCCAGTCGACGCATGAGCAGGGTGCGCATTGCGATGGGCATTGAAAATGTAATCGGCAATTGTCAATCACGAACTAAAGAAAGAGTTAAACAATATAAATGTAGAGAATTCTTGAGCAATCATTTCGAAATGGAACTATAGTCCAGATTCAAATGGCTCGTTAATACCTACTCATGATCACCTAAACATTTCTAGTTATTCATTTATATTTTCATTATGACCATTGAACGGACGGGTCGGTGGCCAGATGGTGAGTACCTACATTACGTAATCACTCTAAATAGATTTTGCCAAAAAAACTGGTTCCACGTGGGATATAAGCCGGCTCATCATTAGAACGTAAAGTGCTTTAGCTTTCAAAATATTCTTGGCTACTTTGATAAGTTTACTTCAACATTAGAATAAATCATCACAGCAAGCGAAAAAACATAGCTATTATTATTGCGAAATATAAAAGCAAAATTTTCTTGGAGAGAAATCAAGATTTTAACACTGTGGTAGGTGAAAAAAATCTTCTAACCTTGTTTATTATTGGTCAATAGTTTAATCGCTATTTAGACTTATTCAAAGTAGTGTAGTAGTGCAGACTTGTTATTCAGTAGATTAAAATTGTTCAATAAAGAGGTCAAGGACAATTTTATCGCAGGCTGTTTGCATCGAACATCATATCTTACTCTATAATAAAAAAAAACTATAAAAATAAGTACGAACAAACACATTCCACACATCGACTTATTACAACTTTCTTTATTTGTCTTATTTCATGTCAAGTATGCAGTTTTAAATCAAACTTATTTTACATTTTTTTTTATTAATAGTTACTAACGTCTATATCTATATGTAAATATAGCTATATACGTATTAGTGTGAAAAACGTTAGATATTTATTTATTTTGAAAGATTGAGGACGATTCTCATAATGGATGACCCACCCATCCGTTTCTGTAACCGGTAAATTACATAACAATAAAGTAGATCGCTGAGTCGCGGTGAAAGTGTCAGTGACATTATTATAACAGGTTTAGTTATTTCAGAAAATTGTTTACTAGTGTGTTCCGTGGCGCCTGCATATAAAAATCTTTGTGATTGTCATAAGTCAGTCAGTCGCAGTTTAATTTAGGAATTAATGTTTTTAGTGTTTGTGTCTTTTTGTTTATTTTAGTCGAAATTATCAAATAATCAGCAATGTTTATTTTAACGACCGTCTATCTATAGGACAAACGTCCTATAATAAGTTACAATTTAATAAGTTATTTTTTTAAATTTGATTAGTAGATAGTCATTATGACAGGTGTGTCAAATACGTAGGACATAATTGAGTATTAAATTTTTTTTACAGATATGATATTTAAATAAATATAATATTTTCCTTTTATTACTCAAGTATCATTGCAGGTCACCCAATATATCTCTATAATTGATAACATAAAAATACTTGCCCATGAAAAAGAAAGCTAATCAAAAGTTGAATGCACGGATGACCGAGTCAGTGTGTTATGTTATTTATTACGTCTCAGCTGTTCTGTGTGTGCGCTCGCGCATCGGAAGGTCTAGTTCGTGCCGCTTCGGTGGCAATCGGCAGTTGTCGGCGAGTCGAGCGAGAGGCGTTCAAGAGCGACAAGTGGGGCGCGAGCGTCGACCGGGGGCAGCGTGCGGCCTTGACTCTTAAGTCCCTCCTCTCCCCGCTCCTCTCCTACCTCGCTACGCTCGCCGCGCAGCCACATTATTTATGATAGCATCAGAGCTCCAAGCAAGCTCGCGATTCTCTACCAACTAATAATAACTCGTTTTTCCTCTCACGCGACTACTTTTTTTGCTCGGATTTGTAATTTCATTGGAACACTGTAGACATTCAAAAGAAGCCAAAAATGTAATTGCCAGTTTCTTACAACCACTTCATATTCTGAGCCCGAGCAAGCAATTTATTTGGCATAGTCTCGTTATTCATAGTAGTATAAAGGTAGGCACAGACGATTAAATGATTCGCATACTTTCACTGTGTCTTCAGAAAAGCCAACGCAACGGTTTCGCAGTCGAGCCGCGCAAGTACCCATTAGTGAAAGTTGGCCAAAAGTAAGTATTGCACAAGTCTACACTTACGCAGCACACGTAATGTTTTCGGGTGTGGCGAAAGTAAGTCCGTAACGAGCAACGTCAGGGTCATATCAATGTGCGTTCAGCTTAGTATCTGAAGGATAAGAATCGCAAACTTCCGCGTTCCGCCTTGCAGAATATTTTTTACTATGCAAATTATAAAGCTTAACATTATATAAAAATAATGCTGTAGATATTTCTAACATCTTGCCGAGTAAAATCTTCGAACAAAACTTTTATTACCAGAAAAAACTTCGCGAAAACTTATGAGCGGGCGACATTCCTGAACGCACCGAGTCAATCTTCTTCGTCCGCCACGCACATCAGAAAAAATCTTATAAAATACAGCACGTAATCGATGCATTGGTTGGGCGGAGATCAGTCGAATGTTACTTTCTATGATACTTTCTAGAGATGTGGGACGTAGCTAGCAACTGGAGCGATCGGTTTCTCCGCGCGAGAAAATTAGATTGAAATAGAAATCGCGCGGTGAAAATTGGCATTTTCACGACACAGCGCGTTGGAAAACGCGTGTGCTCGCGACCATTAATATTATTATGCCGTTGCGTTGCTGTTGTGATAAATAGCACTTTTCATTTAATATTCGTCGCTTATCGGATATGGTAGAAAAACCGGGCAGAATCATTTCAAATATCAAAACACAATTTACTTTTATTCAATTCTTAATCTTCTGAAATGATATGACGGACAATAAAATTTCATATGAGAACTCAACAATGGGGAAAGTATATTTACTCAAATAAGGATTTATCATTTCATTGAACAGACCATTCTGGTTCTGTCACGGTCAGTCATCAAAAGCAGGAGTAGCCTACAGTAGAAAGTGTTACACTTTAGGAACAGACAGACATTCTGTTTAGGGATGCGCATCCGACACACATGGAAGTGTTTACATCCGCCGCGGCATCCGGAGGATGCGCCTGTGCGCCCGCGCAGATCAGATGTGAACTTTGACATGACGTTAACGAAAACGAATGACATTTGAATGATGTGAATGTGTATTTATTGCACAAACAAAGAAAATTACATGTTAATAACATTTCGATAAGATGGTGTATTACTCAAGGAGAGACTGACACATAATGTCTTTAAAATAAAGAAATGTAACAACAAAATATGGATAGTCTTATTATAAAGGAAACTAATGAGAAAAACTTTCGAGAAAGTATTCAAGACGTACGCAGTTCTCTATCTGTATCATATATCTAGCATTGTTAAATTAGAAAGTGTAATTTTATTGTTTTCAGAACAATGTTGTAACAATGAAATCAGGTAAACATAGTGCCAACGAGTCCAAAATGGTCGTCATGTTTCGTCACTACCGATCCGTAAATTAGAAAGTGGTCGCCGGTTATCACGTACGAGGCATGCAAGTAGTGGATATACCACAACTCCCCAGTTCTATTGACATAAAGACACGCATCTCTTTTACACATTACTTGTAATCAATTCTTTCTCTCTGTCTTACCCCCAATTTAGTTAAGCGCACACCCACGCTCCTGCACGCCTTTCGAGTAAACATGAGAATTGATAAATAGAATAGGGAGAAAGTTATAATTAGAATAAATGCAGCCTGGCAACGGTAGACTATAAGTAAAGTTTAAGTTCCTACATTCAAAATTACCAATTTATATTCAATTCAAAAGAATAATGAAATCGCGCGAATAAATGGCACGTTTTTTATAAGGTTCAATTTGTATTTTTGATACCTTACTGTACTATCAGACGGCATGGATCATGTGACGTGGCACTAATAAAGTGTGTAGAAGCGTGACTGTATCTATCAATGCCCTTGCCCTGTTCAAGCGCAAAGCGTGACCTCGCTGTTACCAATTCACGAGTCATTGCTACCATCACCTGTGTAATTTTCTGTTCTGTTCTAGCTCGGACCATAGAGTTAATAACTTTACCATGTTTATAAAGCGTATAAAGGTGAAGAAAAAACTAGATAATGCTGTCACGAGGTCAGTAAATGAGACGTAGACAGATTATGGTGAATTGTACAAAGTAAAACTCCAAAATATTTTTAATCAATTAGAGATACTGAAAAATCGTGACTATATAATGATTGGTTGTGTAGCAGTAGCAGTGTCGTCCAATTAGCTCACTGTTACATGATTATCTAATGTAGTTTTCTCATTTCAAATTACAATTACTTTTACTAACAACCCATTGGCTTCTAGTGTTTTGGTTTACGTTATCTGTTTACGTGAATTATTCAGAAGGTGATTTAATTTATTGACCTCATAACATGGAAAAATAATATAACAGAAATGTAGGCCAAGGCACATTTAGATGACGTAAATTCTATGCGCTCAACTCTTGTCATAAGGGCTAATTAAACGTGACCGCCAATTAGGTCAACGACTCTTTGTTCTCCAAAGCTGATAAGGTATTTGTACTGGATTTGAGACAGTGGGTCGCTACGTCGACATTCATCTATGCACGTGGAGGTTACATCATACTGTTGTGAGCGTGACCTAAGATTGTTTATTCCTCGTAATACCGAAGTAGTATGTGGGTCATTAACATTCGTTTCCGAGGAACGGCCGAACGAGA